ATGAATCAAGATTAACATAAAACTGATGACTATTTAATTGGTTCAAGAGTACATGGAGGATCATTATGTTAGTCTATTTTTCATATGCTTAAAATTTCCTAACAAAAAATTTAAAAAGAAAGAGCTTCATTGTACTTTGAACACTGTATTTTTTCATTTGTTCTTTCCCTAATATAACTTTATTACTTACTCAAGATTAGCTATTGGAAGTTGAGGAGATTTAGTACTAGGTGAAGCAAGAATAAGAATTAGGTATAAACAGAACTTAATCATAGAAAAATAACTGTTTGTTTTTTTTTTTTTTTTGAGACAAGAGTCTCGCTTTCTTGCCCAGGCTAGAGTGAGTGCCGTGTGCTCAGCCTAGATCACAGCAACCTCAAACTCCTGGGCTCAAGCAATTCCTCCGCCTCAGCCTCCGAGTAGCTGGCGACTACAGGCACGAGCACCATGCCGGCTGATTGTATATTATATATATTATGGCATTAATTTCTTTCTATTTTTATGGTAGAGACGGGGTCTCACTCAGGCTGGTTTGAACTCCTGACTCTAGCAATCCGCCTGCCTCGGCCTCCCAGGTGCTAGATACAGGCGTGAGCCACTGCACCGCCGAAATAACTGTTTTAGGCATATAAACAATGTATGTTCCCAATGAAATGTTATTTTATTAGGATACCAAAAATTACTCCCCCATATGTAACACACAACATATATATATACTCTGAGATGTATACTCTACCACTTTCCATCTTTCTTCACCAGGATTCCAACACTCAGGATATCTGGCTGCTCTCCTCCCCCACTCATTGCAATATACTGATAAGGTAGAACGGCTACACAGGCATCCAGTTCCCAAGGGTGGTTTCCATTTAACCTAAAACAAAGAAATAACAGCATATATCGGGCTGAATAACACAAAAATATCAGCATCAAGAAGCATACTAATCTTATAATTAATTAGGTTGCTTTGTTGGAAAAGGGAGGGACCCAAATCAGTCTTCACAAAAAATGATTTATAATGCAATATGTTAAAAGAAAGCACAATATCCATTACCCAATATCAACATACTTATGTACAAAATTAGACCATGTATTTACAAACGACTATGTTACAACACAGATAGATACATAACTGAGATTGCTAGACTACAGGGCAAGCATGATATATCAAAGGCCTTGATGTAACAGGCCATTATCCCTGAGTACAACATATTGGCTGAAGAAAAACATGGTCCCTAATTTACATCGCTTATAGTTTAATGCGTATACTTAAGGTGACATCATTCCAGCTGAATAATATCTTAATGTTACAAAATACACCTAAGTGTGTGGTCATATGGTGAGCATTAGTGCCTCAAAAATACACTTTAAATGCATGAAAACAAAAACGAACACAGAAAGGGCTGTCGATCAAACCTGACACAATATTATATATATAAAAGGATTCAGACCAGCCTAGTAACATAGCAAGACTCCATTTCTATAAAATTTAAAACATCAGCGAGTATGGTGGTCCATGCGCTGTTATATTAGCTACCTCAAGGCTGAAGGCGGATGACACCTAAGCCCAGAAGTTGAGATTTATAGGTAGCTTTGTGATCATCTGGTGATCACACCCACTGCACTCTAGTATGGGTGACAGACTGAGACCTGTCTAAAAAAAAAAAGAAAAAAAAAAAGATAACAGTAAATGATAGCAACCTGTAGAAATGAAGATACCAGAGAAAAATATGGCACTACAGGAGATGAAAACTGTAACCTAGTACAGAATCGACGGATTTATTGAATACACTAGATTTCAGGTAAACAAGACAACTGTGCTATTAAAAGCATGTCTTTGTAAAGGGAGTTGTGTATAAATAGCAAACTTTTTTGGTAAAGTTAGAATAGTAATATTTTAGGCTTTTCAGGCCATATACTGTATTGTCTGTCATAGCTATCAGTTCTACCATTGCAGCACAAAAGCCAACGCTAACTCACAAAACAATCAAACCGTACCAACAAAAAAAAATTAAATGACATAAATGATATCAACAAAAAACAAATAATTTACTTAACAAAAAAAGTAAGTTGGTCAAATCTGGCTGCATGACTGATATGTTACTAACCTTTACTCTACAATACAAAGGGAATAAAAAAACAGAGAATGGAGAATAAAAGATTAAGAAGGTAATCAGTGAATAGATAAACTATGATAACAAAGTTTAAACACATAGCCAGAACCAGTAAAAAATGTCTCAAAATGACAAATATGACAAAAAAAACGTTTTCTAACATACTCCAAATTCAAGAAGGACTAAAATACACAAAAGATATCATACAAAAATGTAGTTCAAAACACATTCCAACCTATCAAAACGATAGTTGGAATGATAATTAAGTGATATTCACATTATTAAGTCAACCAAAAAAAAAAAAAAAAAAAAAAAATTAATTCTCTATTGATGTTCAAATGGCATATAGGAAGTAGAGTGAGGTGCAAAAACATTACTTCAACCTAGATTTTTTGTTTTGTCATTTGATAAGGTTTTTTGTGAGATAAAGTATGAAGCCACCTCTCCAAAATTAGAAGAATGTCCCTTTGGTACTGTTTATGAGTTTTTAAAGTTATATCAGGTGTTGTTTAAGAGATAAAATATAATGAATCATAAGTACCAGTCAAGGCCCACCAAACAGCAATTTATTTAACTGAATACTCCTGGAATTTTTTTTTTAAATCCCAAATTCATCCTGTAGTTCCTCAGAGTATTTGTTTCCCATTGCCAGATGAAAATAAAGTAGTATGTCTCATATGTAAAAGTAGTTATTAAGTAATAATTATACAGCTAGCACTTTGCCAAATGCTTTCGGGGACACCAGTAGAACAAGGCCCTCTGTTTGAAGAAGTTTAGTTTCTGCCTGGCACAGTGGCTCACGCCTGTAATCCTAGCACTCTGGGAGGCCGAGATGGGCGGATTGCTCGAGGTCAGCAGTTCAAAACCAGCCTGAGCAAGAGCAAGACCCTGTCTCTACTATAAATAGAAAGAAATTAATTGGACAACTAATATATATATATAGAAAAAATTAGCCTGGCATGGTGGTGCATGCCTGTAGTCTCAGCTACTTGGGAGGCTGAGACAGGAGGATCCCTTGAGCCCAGGAGATTGAGGTTGCTGTGAGCTAGGCTGACGCCATGGTACTCTAGCCTGGGCAACAAAGCGAGACTCTGTCTCAAAAAAAAAAAAAAAAAAAAGCTTAGTTTCTCTGTAGTGAGGTAGGACACTGACAGTGGAAAGTTAAGCAACATAACAGTTAAAAAAGCAATGTAATAATGCAGTTGATATCTGAGGTATGACATGATAAAATGATTGAGTGATTAAATAATTACCATTGAAATCTAGAGGATAAAGAAATCAGCCTAGATGCAATAATCAGTGAAGATCCAGTGGAGAAAGAAGTAGGACATGAGCTGGGGCTTCTTGGGATGGTGAGGATTTTGGACCCTGTACCTATGATAACTTTTCCTATATTATATTATATCTTAGACATTTGATAATGTGATAAGAAGAAGACATAGTTTCAGGAAATAAAAGAAGGCTAACTTATTGCCATATCTAGCTTGAAGCATATCACTCCTCACTTCCAACTCAATTTTTTAGAGCCTTGCAGGTCCATTTGTCAGTAGCTTTTTGAACCTGCTATTCCCCAGTTAAACTAACACATTTTATCAGGAAGAATATTAAGTATCTGATGAAAGTACTTAAATTGATTAGAGTTTACTCTTATTTGAATATATAGCTGTATAGTGAACTCTGAGGTAGTTTAGAATAGGAGTGCTTTGCTCTCTCTGTGGAGCCTGTTTGATGCCTCAGAGAGAAGAATAAAGTGATGCTGAAGAGGGCTGGGTGCTGGCTGCTGTGCCACTTCCAACTGCCTCCATACACATACACCAGATTGGTCCCAGGTAAGATTTCAGTTGGCAAAAGGATTTCATGTTTTGAAAGTATGCAAACAACTGCCTTAGAATTAAAACAACAAATGTGGTTGCTGAATGTCATTTGTGGGAAGTGATTCTTTCAAATACTGTATTTTTTGTGACATTTCTGATGCTGGCTGTAGACTAAATTTTAAAATTGTTTGTGGCTTAAATAATTTCATTACTTTTTGTGGACAAACCTGTGGGAAAAGGTTTTTTGTGTTTATTTGTTTGATTTTTTTTTTATTTCAGCATATTATGGGGGTACAAATGTTAAGGTTACGTATATTGCCCATGCTTCCCCTCCCCCCTCGAGTCGGAGCTTTAAGCGTGACCATCCCCCAAACGTTGCACATCTCACTCATTGTGTTTGTATATACCCATCCTCTCCTACCCCCTCCCACCTTCCTGATAAATGTTATTCCTATATATTCACTTAGGTGTTGGTCCGTTGATACCAATTTGCTGGTGAGTACATGTGGTACTTGTTTTTCCATTCTTGAGATACTTCACTTAGTAGTATGGGTTCCAGCTCTATCCAGGAAAATACAAGAGGTGCTATATCACCATTGTTTCTTACAGCTGAATAGTACTCCATGGTATACATATACCACATTTTATTAATCCACTCATAAATTGATGGGCACTTGGGTTGTTTCCACAACTTTGCAATTGTGAATTGTGGTGCTATAAACATTTGAGTGCAGGTGTCTTTTTCATAAAGTGACTTTTGATCTTTTGGGTAGATACCCAGTAGTAGAGTTGCTGGATCAAATAGTAGATCTACTTGTATCGCTTTAAGGTGTCTGCATATTGTTTTCCACAGAGGTTGAACTAGTTTGCAGTCCCTTGGGAAAAGATTTTGATGTTATTTCCAGGAATTTGTTTTCTTCTTGACATATGTAATTAATTTAACAATATTGAAATATTTCATCATAAAATAGGGATATTAAAATTATATATTATAAATATAAGAGATGATTTGGTTTCCAATTAGAATCTTATAGTAATTTTGAGTGTGTGTGTTCTTATTTTATTTTCTGTGTAGTTGAGAAAGATTGGAGGTGGGGGATTTGGAGAAATTTACGATGCCTTGGACATGCTCACCAGGGAAAATGTTGCACTGAAGGTGGAATCAGCTCAACAACCAAAACAAGTTCTGAAAATGGAGGTTGCTGTTTTGAAAAAACTACAAGGTAAGCTACTTTGTATGATGTACAATATATAATTTATTCTAATCTTTCTGAACCTTGATTACATTCTCTAACTACTAATTTAATACTCTGGTGTCAGCCAGGTATAAACATGCTGAGCATTTTTCTCTTGAAATTTTATCAGTAGTTAGTAGTAGTAGAAATATGTGATTGCTTAGAATAATTGGACTTTGGGAGTTGCTTTTCATGGTAAGGATGAGAGTGAATTAGTAGAAACATTATACTGCTTTAGAAAGTCTTGTCATAAATCCACTATAGTAAAATGGGCCTTTCTTTTTTTTTTAAATAACCAATCATAAATACCTCTTAGTTGTTTCCACTCATTTCTTTGGATTTTAAACATGCTTTAATCACAGTAAGGAAGCTGCCTTCTAGTCACTGTGCAGGATGGGCTAATAATAATCCTATTAGTTATGTGTGGATTCTCATTAACTTCAGTTTCAGAGAATAACTCTTTCTGGCCCTGTTTTCATTTTTGAGGTCCATTTTACTACTTGGGTCCTTATTATTATTTTTTTTAACTACGAGAACAAATAATTTTTTTCTGACATGAATCCAGTGATCTAAAACCCTGAATATATTGCTAGTTTGTGTTCTCAGTTTAAAGACATACTCTGATGTTACTGATATTTGTTTGATCTGAAAGAAAATTAAATAGGGATGATTATTTCCCTTTGCCCTAAGCTTTCCAGTTATCCAAGTTTCTCTATCAGTTGGCTCATTTGATTAGAGCATGATGCTAATAAAATTATAGATCTATTTAATAGTCATTTTTAGCTCAAAGTTAGCTTTTCCACAACATTGTAAATCAGAATAGTGGTGAGATCAGTACCCATTGTCACTATAGTAGGAAAACAAACAATTAGAAAAGGAAGAATAGAGAAAAAGATGGCTCTCTCTTTTTCTCACCTTTTCTATTTTGTCCCTATGTCTCTCAAGTTGTTTTTAATTCAGTGATGTAAAGACCATAGACAGGTGCCACTGAGGCTACCTTTTCCATGGTTGTAGAAATCCTAAGATATCTGTTTTACTCTCAGCCAAGCCCATGAAAGGTATGTCAGCATCAACTTGGTGCTGACAAGACAGTGCCACTTCATCTATCTTTTACCTATTTGGCCCTGAAGAGATGCTTCCAGGTGAGGCAGGATACAGCTCTGCAGCCCCTTCAGGGTTCTTTTCTCTATTTTGGCCATGGTTTACTCAGGATTCTATGTGATAGAGCTTGAAGATCAGTTTAGTACCTTTTATGAATGAATTAGAGACCCCTGGATGCTAGTTCTCTCGTTTTCTTCTATTTTATTTTTCATGTTATTACCTAAAATGTTTTTCCTACCTGATTATAATCACATGACATCTTATTCCTAAGAACCTTTCACTTTCTGGAAATAAATAGGTTTTTAATCTGTTTTAGTTTATTTATTTATTTATTTTTGAGATAGAGTTTTACTCTGTTGCCTGGACTAGAGTGCCATGGCATCAGCCTAGTTTACAGCAACCTCTAACTCCTGGGCTCAAATGATCCTCTTGCCTTAGTCTCCCGATTAACTGGGACTATATAGAGACAGGGTTTCGCTCTTGCTGAGGCTGATCTCGAACTCCTGACCTAAAGCAATCCTCCTGCCTTGGCCTCCAAGTGCTAGGTGTACAGGTGTGAGCCACCACACCTGGCCCTAATCTGTTTTAATAAATACGTGTATATTTCAGTGAGGTAGGCCTTGACTCTCTTCTCTTGGTTTCCTACTTTATGCTTTCTACATACTTATGCCTTACAACTTCTTTCATTGAGGGTGCTGTGTAACATGGACCACTTTGAGAACATTTTTATAGGGCTGAGCTACTATCGTCTTACTTTTGGCATAATGACTTATTACTGAGTGACCCCAATGAAAAGGCTAAATCTTTAAGGAAAAAGGTATACAATCAGGGGCTAACCCTTTTAGGAATGGTTGGTTATAAATTGATGTTTAATTTTTGATAGCTAGTATAAGGATTTATTTCTTTACAAGATAAAAAGATACTTTATGATGAATTTAGCCTAACCCCTAGTTTTGCTCATTTTAATAAATCAATCCTCTTTTCAAAATTCACATAATACACTTTCTCAGATTCCCTCAGTTCTCCATTGTCTTTCTTGAAGTCTTTCCTATACTTAACAATCCAGGATTTCTTCAGCTCAGGCAAAGCTCTCGTCACTAGTATGTTCCTTTCTCATTAGCCCTGAAGTGTGAAGGCCTTACTTAGCATTTTACCCCATATTTTCTTCATTTTTTTATAGATGAGGTCTCACTCTGTTGCCAAGGCTTGCTTTGAACTCATGGGCTAAAGGGATCCTCCCACCCCAGCCTATCGACTAGCTGGGACTACAGGAGTACTCCAACCTATTTTTTCTCTTCTGCATGACCTTCCTCATGCTACTATATGACATTGCTCTATTTCAAAGCTTTCTGAAATGTTTTGGATACTATTTGCAGTTCTCTATTGACTCAAAGTAGATTCTTCAGTTTTACTTGGTTTTTACAAATGTATTTGAGTGTTTTAGTCACTTTTAAACTAAACCATCTGTTAATAGGCCTATTAGATAGTACTTTTACACTCAGTTATTATTCTCTAAAGTGGCACTACTAAGTAGAGCCATAAAACTTACTAAACCTTTCTTCTTATCAATATCATTGTTCAGAGATACATCTTTGTGTAACCATTTATTTATGTCTCTTCTTTCTCTCTATTCATGATATGTTATCTTCATTCTTTTGTTTTTCATTTTATTTACTTTGAAACTCTGTGCAAAGGTGATAATTGATGCTCTAGTCTGTTAGATTCTTTTTTCTCCCATCTTAAATAAATGTTTTATAGTGATAATTCTACCTATCTTCATTTCTCCATTTTCATGATCTCTTATACTATCTCAACATACCACTCTTTTTTTTTCTTTTTATTATACTAAGTACAGTTTTATATGCAGTGCTGTTGTAAGAGGGAAAAAAAACTTCTGTCCCTTGATTTCAAATCTGATTGATCCTTAGTAATTCTGTAGTGCCTCAGGAACCATCAAATACTTTTTTATAAAGTTAGATTTCCATTCTAGTCTTAACAAAATTTGGTACATGACTAAAATCCTGAAGTTAAATAAGCAAATCTTAAATTTCCTTTTTCCCCTAATTTTTTAAAGACTGTTTTTAGAGCAGTTTTAGGTTTGCGGCAAAATTGAGAGGAAGGTACAGAGATTTCCTGTATATAGCCTGCCCTCACACATGCATAGCCTCCCCCAGAATCAACATCCCCTACCAAATCAGTGCATTTGTTACAATTAATGAACCTATATTGACTCATCATTATCACTCAGAATCTATAGTTTACGATAGGATTCACTCTTACTGTTGTATACTCTGTGGGTTTGTACAAATGTATAATGACATATATCCACCATTATTTATATACAGATGCTCCTCAACTTACAGTGGGGTTATGTCCTAATAAACCCATCATATGTTGAAAATCATAAGTTGAACCATTCTAAGTCAGGAACCATCTCTCTATATATTTTTATTGTCCTAAAAATCCTCTGTGCTTTGTCTCTTCGTCCCTCCCTACCCTCTGACCTCTGGCAACCATTGATCTTTCTACCGTGTCTATAGTTTTGCCTTATCTAGAGTGTCATATAGTTGGAATCCTACAGTATTGGCTTCTTTCACTTGGTACTATGCATTTAAGTTTCCTCCACATCTTTTCATGCCTTGATAGCTCATTTCTTTTTAGCACTGAATAATAACCCATTGTCTGGATGTTCACCTACTGAAGGACATCTTGGTTGCCTGCAAATTTTAGCAATTATGAATAAAGCTGTTATAAACATCCTTGTGTAAGTTTTTGTGTGGACATGTTTTCAGCTTGTTAGGGTAAATACCAAGTAGTGCTGTTACTGGAATGCGTAGTAAGATTATGTTTAGTTTTGTAAGAAACCACCAAATTGTCTTCTAAAGTGGCTGTATCATTTTGCATTTTTATCAGCAATGAATGAAAGTTCCTATTGCTCCACATCCTCACTAGCATTTGTTGCCAGTGTTTTGTATTTTGACAGTCTAACACATGTGTAGTGACTTCTCGTTGTCATATTATGTTATCAAGTATGAAATGTTCGATTTCCTTAAGTACTAAGTTAGACAGTTGACATTTCACTTTGACACTTCTTGTTTTATTGTGAAGGTACATCCTCATTTTTCCAAGCATGTGGTTTGGCTTGTAATTATCTTTCAAAAATTTTTTAGAGCAATTTTTGTGAAACCATGGTAAGTTAAAAATTCATGTTATTTTGAATATGAGTTCCTTGGTGAAACCAATGCAGCACAGAGAGCTCAAAATATCAGAAAAGTGTTGGTGGCTAATGACACACAGTACGTTGATGCTTTGAGAAGTTCCATTCTGGTAGTTTTAATCTTGAAAATGAGCCATGTGGGTGACCTGAGACCAGGGTGGATAATGATGAGCTGAAAGTTATAGTGGAAGTGAATCCATCTCAACCTATGCATGAATTAGCAGCAAGGTTTGACGTTGTGATTCCAACAATATTGAACCATTGGAAACAAATTGGCAAGGTAAAGAAACTGAATTCTGTATGAATTAAATGAGTGTCAGAAGAGAAATATCTTGAAGCTTGCCTTTCTTTGCTGTCACGAAATAAAGGCAAACCATTTCTACACTGTATTGTGATGAAAAATGGATTCTTTTTGACAATCACAAGCATATGGCACAAAGGTTGGATAACGATGAAGTGCTGAAACATAGTCCAAAACTGAATATTCATCAAAAACAGCTAATGGTGTGTGTTTTGTGGTCCAGTGCTGGTATTATCCACTATAGCTTCATGAAACCTGGTCAGTTAATTATAGTGGATGTCTGCTGCAACCAGTTGGACAAAATGATGAGGATGCTCATGATTAAGCAACCAAGATTGGTCAACAGGGACAGGCCAATCCTCTTGCAAG